AAAAAAAAAAAAAAAAAAAAATCCTTAAAAACAAACAAACAAACAAAAAAAAAACAACAACATATACACTCTGTGTGTTTTTTTCTAAATATAGTTTTCAGACTTGGGATTTTTTTCCAGATAGATTTCCAACATAAATAAATATAACCATAATTATAACAATATGCCATTAGACCAAAACCAAATTGTCAAAAACCACAAATTTTATCTGGGGCCAAATCAGTTTTTCTTGGACCCACTAAAATGACGAGCTGTGGGTCCTGGGGACTCACTACATCATTTCATCAATATCACTGCTCTAGCCCTTAGCCTTTGTATATATTGCAGTTTTTATTTTATTATTATTTTTTTTAAAGATATTTTTTGGTCGTTTTTGCCTTTAATTGATAGGACAGCTACGTGTGAAGGGGGTAGAGAGAAGGAATGACATGCAGCAAAAGGCCAAAGGCTGGAGTCAAACCTGCGCCGCTTCGGCAACAGCCTTGTTCATGGGGCGCCTACTCTATCCACTAAGCCACCGACGCCCCATATAGCAGCTTTTATTTAATTGCATTAATTTATTATTGGGTTCATCTATTCATTTAATTATTTGTCCTGTCTCATGCCAACTAGTTTCTTTGTGGAGTTTGGCCCACGTTGCACATTGAACCACAGAAGACAAGTTGAAATGAAATGGAAGGGGATCAACTGAAGAATGACGACTGCCATATCCAGACACCTTCGGCACAGGGACCTGCCAGTGCCTGCTGCTGAGAACTCCACACAGCTAGGGGACAGGTAGACCCCAAGGTACCACCCCAGGGACCCTTTGCTTCTGCTGGGATTTTTTTTTCATAAATCATTATTTGTTAGAATTGGGTTCTGTGATCTTATTCAGGTGTAATAAATTCATTTGCTTATTCATTTTCAAAGCAAACATTACGTGTGATCTGCTGCAGTGGTAAATGTTGAGGGGAGTTTTGGTGTTATCTTAATTAGGGTTTGGGAAAAGGGAAAACTGTCATTCAAAATTTACATCAGAATATTTTTTTGTTATGATTCTTCTTCTGTAGGTATTCAGATCTCTTCCTGAACTAAAATACAACTAAGATTCTTATTTATGTGTAGTTTTACAAGTTGCAGAGGGAGCTCTACTTATGACATAGTGTTGTCATATCCCATTTCAAGGAGTATTGTCTTGTTTTTGGGACAGAAACTGCCAACTTGAAAGGGAAAGTGATACTGTGATATTGTGGCTCAGCTGTCTTGACCAGGAGATCCTCCTTCATTTCCTTGGCCACAGGCTTCATTTTTACTTGAAATTTACCTATCAAAACATGCCAAGACTGGAATGAAAATTCCTTTGTTTTTTCCTTTGCCAAAGTTGTTCTGGGATTTAAAACAGTCATGTAATGTGAGAGACATGTTAAAGCCTTTCCTTGTTGTATTCAAGAAAGAGATGCAATTCTCATGGTTTTGTTATACATCATCATATGGAATTTTAATTTTGTTTAGGACAGGGTTCCACATCTTTTTTCAGGCATATAAAGTAAGTTGAACCACTTTCTACAGCTCGAGCTTCTGTAGACAGAGAAACACTTTCACATTCTTTAAAGTGATACTGCACACAAATTTGTGCTCTGTGAAGGACTAAAATTTTACAGCCACCCCTCAAGCCCACAGGGGTTGAGTACTGGGTTGTATAAGACTCACAATGAGCCTCCCTCGGTGTGTGTTGTGTTAAGAAACCTGTTTGTTGGGGTGTGACTAACATCTGCATGGTCTGATCAAATACTGTAAATGTGCAGAAACGTCAGTAGAAATGCATCAGCTCCACTATAGATAATTGAAGTCCAGCGAATGAAGCCAGCTAGAAAGACAACCTGTTTAAGAGGAAGATTTCCTATTTCTAATTGTTAATATTCAATCAAAGGACCAAGCAAATAAATGGGACATGTCTGAATGATTGCATCTTCATGAGCTGCAGGAAATGGGCTGCCAGACACAGCCATTTCTGATAAGACTTTCTGCCTCCTGCCTTCATAACATCAAATCTCTTCAAGATTTGCTGTTCTGTGAGAAAAAAGAAATGGAAGTGAAGGTCCTTCCCTTCTTGTCAGAAAAGTACTTCATTAAAGACGTGTTGACATTGTTTTATCTACAGGTAGTGAAGACTTAAACATATCCAACAATACTACTACATTTAATGTATTACACTCTTATTTATTAGTCCTTTTCTGGTCTATTTATTCACATCATTGCATCCAGGTGAAGAGTCCAGCGGCACACATGCACACTGATGGGGAATATCTTTGTAAAACAGTTTATGATCCAACCACTAGATTGCATACTTTTCCAGCTTATTTCAGACATTGCCAAACATTCCATTGTACATGGAGGAACTACTGTAAACCCACTGTAGAACTCTTTGAATCTTGGACTCAGTTTTCATGTACTGCATCTGTGGTGTGAAATGAAGGGCTTTGCATTTAACATGTTTATTTTGCTGCTGTGAAATCATGGATATGTAATTGAAACAATAGAACCTGGAGCTTGAAGTAACTGTTTGAAGATGCACAACATCTTTGTTGTATGGAGATATTTGTATTTGTGTGGCCTCCTAAACTGCTGTGTGCAGGGATATCTCCAGACAACACGATACATTCATATTCTATTATACTTACATGCTATGTAACTAACCCTTATATGTTTGGGTATAACAATGTGAACCCAGTGTTACAAACATTCATAAGCACAATGTATGAAAGATAACTATTGTCCAAATGTCTTTGTGGAATCTTTAATGTACATTACTGTCTTGAAATGGCTGCTCATCAGTAAAGGTGAGCTGTTGTCAAGGAGGGTGCCTTATTGTTGTAGTCCAAGTGATCCAAGTTGCCTTGATGTGCATGATAAACAAACCATTTAACTGTCCCTTGTGTGCCCGTCCTCTGGTTCCAAGCAGTTTTGCCATGAGGACAAACACTATCGGCTTTAAATGCAAAGTCGGTACCCGATTCTTTGGCCTCTTATTCATTTCATGTGTCCAACGTTTTAGTTACAGGTTGTTCTAATGATGTTAACTGTAGCTGTAAGTGAAAAAAATGTATGTGTTGAGTCCAGAGGAGCAAACTCTGCTCTTCTGGCCTCTATCATCAACTCTATCAAACGCTGTGATTTTTGTTGAACTTCATGTGCCAGTCTTTACTGATGCCCTGCATAGTCAAATAAAAGCAAATGTGTCAGACAGTTTGATTACCTAAGAACTTTTTCTTAGCCTCTCACTTGGAAAGTGCCATAACACACATGTATGCAATTTAAATATATCAAAAAGGCTGCAGTGTCAGTAACATAGACTTAAAAATAATGGACGTAGCTGATGTGATGTTACCAATTTGTTTGTGGATTCCTGTTTTGAAGCCTGGAGTTTGGCTTTTCAGCTGTCACCATCTTGGATTTTGTAACCATATTTGGGCCGAGAGGCTGGCTCTATGGAGGAGTGAGGGGTGGTGAGAACACCATCAGCAGACAGCCTGTCACTCAGAGTGGCCTGCCCTTAATTATGCATACCTTTAAGCCTCAATAAAATGTAAACAGAAGTTCAAACCTGTATAAATGTCATGAAAGTTGAAATTAGATATAGAGACCAAAAGGTTTTTTTGTACCAGGAGGTAATCATTAGGGACCTCGGCCGAGGACCCTATTGTTTTTGCTGTGTTTATTATTATTAGGGACCTTGGCCAAAGTCCCTCTTGTTTTTGCTGCGTTTATTATTATTATTAGGGCCCGAGCACCGACCGAAGGCTGGGCGAAGGCCCTATTGAAACTGAAGGAATTATTATTATCATTATTAGGGCCCAAGCACCTAGTGGTGCAAGGACCCTATTGAAATGCAAGGATTTATCATTATTATTATTATTATTAGGGCCCGAGCACTGACCAAAGGCCGGGCGAAGGCCCTATTGAAACTGCTCCATTTATTATTAGGGCCTGAGCACCGACTGAAGGCCAGGCGAAGGCCCTATTGAAACTGAAGGAATTATTATTATTATTATTAGGGCCCGAGCACCTAGTGGTGTGAGGACCCTATTGAAATGTAAGGATTTTTTATTATTATTATTAAACTGAAGGAATTATTAGGGCCAGAGCGATGACGAAGTCATCCGCAGAGGACCCTATTGAAATCGGGCTGTTTAGTAGGGCCCGAGTGATGACGAAGTCATCCGCGTAGGACCCTATTGTAATCGTGCTGTTTATTATTATTATTATTATTGGTAGGGCCTGAGCGACGACGAAGTCGTCCGCCTAGGACCCTATTGTAATCGCGCTGTTCATTAGGGCCCAAGCGATGACGAAGTCGTCCGTGAGGACCCTATTGTAATCGGGCTGTTTATTAGGGCCCGAGCGACGACGAAGTCGTCCGTGGGGACCCTATTGTAATCGCGCTGTTTATTATTATTATTAGGGCCTGAGCGACGACGAAGTTGTCCATGAGGACCCTATTGTAATCGCACTGTTTATTATTAGTATTATTATTATTATTTATTATTAGGGCCCGAAAAACGACGAAGTTGTCCGTGAGGACCCTATTGTAATCGCAGTGTTTATTAGGGCCCAAGCGACGACGAAGTCGTCCGTGAGAACCCTATTGTAATCGCGCTGTTTATTAGGGCCTGAGCGACGACAATATTATTATGGCCCAAGCGACAACGAAGTTGTCCGTGAGGACCCTATTGTAATCGCATTGTTTATTATTATTATTATTATTATTATTAATTATTAGGGCCCAAATGATGACGAAGTCGTCCGTGAGGACCCTATTGTAATCGCAGTGTTTATTAGGGCCCGAGCGACGACGAAGCCATCCGTGAGAACCCTATTGTAATCGCGCTGTTTATTAGGGCCCGAGGGACGATGAAGTTGTCCGTGTAGAACCCTATTGTAATCGCGCTGTTTATTATTATTATTAGGGCCCGAGCGACGACGAAGTATTTTCGATGTTTTTTGGCACATGGTTGGCGCGTAATGCCGAAATAGCGCCCCCCTACAAATTTTCAAAATACCCTCCCCATTAGGGTTAGTTTGTCGCAGGCAAACGAAATTTGGTACACACATGTATCATACCCAGACGCACAAAAAAGTCTCTTAACGTCATGGTAAAATCCCAACAGGAAGTTGGCCATTTTGTTTTGAATTTTTTTATTACGGCGATTTCCACAACTTACATTTGAACGAACTTGTCCTAGGGCTTTTGCCCGATCAACTTCAAATTGGCAACAGATCATCCATGTCTGTAGGTCAAAGGGCGTGGCTGCTAGGGTGTGACAAATTTTGGTGACAATTCATTTTCTCGCCATCGAATTTCAAACGGCTCTCACACCCACATACTTGATCGTAGCAGCTTCAAACTTGCTGGACATGATGATGGCTCCGCCCCGAACGCCCCGATATGTAAATATCTTACCTTACTCATAGCGCCCCCTCGTGGTAACAGGAAGTGATCAGTAAGGTAAGATACGAGTAAGGTAAGATATTTACATATCTTACTCATAGCGCCCCCTCGTGGTAACAGGAAGTGATCAGTTTTTACTTTAACATGTACTAATACCACAAACTTGACCGCATCAACTTCATTCCACTTCTAATGCCTGCAGAACAAGTTGGTGAAGCTACCTTATGAACGCTGTGAAGCTATGTCTAATGGTGTCCCTGTGGCGGCATGGCGACTATCGATCCCTTGCCACTAAATACGTTTAGCATTTTGATGGCTTCAGCGACCTCATCTCCTCATGAAAATTGATACACAGGCCAAGAATGGCGAGCTCTTGCATCTGATAGGGGTGTCGCCCATGGGGGGGGACAAAATGCCTCTATAGTGTCTTTTTGAAATTTTCAAGAACTCCTCCCCATAGGGATTTTTTTGGAGTTGGAACATGAAAATTGGTGCACATGTGTATGTTGTCCAGATGCACATAAATGTCTCTGGCACCAATGCTCTACTCCAAACAGGAAATCGGCCATTTTGATTTTGACTTGTCATTTTGATCCATTGCCATGCATATTCAAGCAGCTCTCTCTCCCACATAATTCATCCAAACTGCTTCAAAAAATTTCTGTACATGATAACCCGCCCTCAATGCCTCCATATGCTCGAAGGCAATCTTGCTCATGGCACCCCCTTGTGGAAACAGGAAATGTCATCTTTTACACTGAAAAACACCAACCTCAAGCCCCTGACTTGATCAACTACATTTTGTGGAAACATGACAATCAAGTTGATGAATCTCCACAGTGACACACTTGTCCTGTCATGTTTCAGGCTGACTGCAGCGGCGGCATAGACTTTTCATCCTTCGCCACAGAACATCAGCTTGGTATAAATCCTTCATGCATTGTCCGATTTGCTCGAAATTTCACGTGTGATGAGGGTCAACCCCTGAAAGCACCTGCCGACATCTGGTTACGCTCGTAGCGCCACCTGGTGGATGAACGAAACATTGAATTTTTTCGCTCCTGCCAGGTTTTTTCTCCATTCTTGCTTCGCGCCACAGCCCCCACGTGCCTCAGGCCCCCACGGTTGCATGGGGGAGCGAGGGTCCAATCACAGCTGCTTGCAGTTTTAATTATTATTATTATTCCGACATTTTGTGTCCCAATTTCGCCCCTTTCCCAAATTTCAGAACGCTTCTAACTTTCCACATTTGTCTGGCCGGATCCGAAATTCGATTTGATTTTTGAGCGGTTGCACATGGTCGACGCCAAATGCCAAAATAGCGCCCCCTACAAATTTTTAAAATACCCTCCCCATTGGGGTTTATTTGTCGTAGGCAAATGAAATTTAGTACGCACATGTATCATACGGAGACACACAAAAAAGTCTCTTGACGTCATGGTAAAATCCCAACAGGAAGTCGGCCATTTTGTTTTGAATTTTTTCTTTACGGCAATTTTCACAACTTAAATTTGAAGGAACTCCTCCTAGGGATTTCGTCCGATCGACTTCAAATTCGCTACAGATCATCCTGAGAACATACTGATCAAAAGTTATTAAAAGCTTTTCTCTATGGCAAGGGGCATGGCCGCTAGGGAGTGACAAATTTTGGCGACTTTTCGTTTTCTTGCCATCGAATTTTGAACGGCTCTCCCACCCACATACTTGATTTCGGCAGCTTCAAACTTGCTGGACATGATGATGGCTCTGCCCCAAACGCCCCGATATGTTAATATCCCACCTTACTCATAGCGCCCCCCGGTGGTAACAGGAAGTGACCAGTTTTTACTTTAACATGTACTAATGCCACAAACTTGACCGCATCAACTTCATTCCACTTCTAATGCATGCAGAACAAGTTGGTGAAGCTACCTTATGAACGCTGTGAAGCTATGTCTAATGGTGTCCGTGTAGCGGTGTGGTGACTATCGATCCCTCGCCACTAAATATGTTTGGCTTTTTGATGGCTTCAATGACCTCATCTCCTCATGAAAATTGATACACAGTTCAAGAATGGCAAGCTCTTATATCTGATAGGGGCGTCGCCCATGGGGGCGACAAAATGCCTCTATAGCGCCCCCTTGAAATATTCAAAAAACCCTCCCCATAGGGTCTTTTTTGGAGTAGGAACATGAAAACTGATACACATGTGTATGTTGTCCAGACGCACATAAAAGTCTCTGGCACCAATGGTCTACTCCAAACAGGAAATCGGCCATTTTGATTTTGACTTGTCATTTTGGCGTGATTTCCACATGTTGTATTTTAACGAACTAGTCCTAGGGATTTCATCCAGTCGCCTTAAATTTTTTTTACAGATCATCCAGAGACCATGCTGATGAAAAGTTATTAAAAGCTTTTCTCTATGTCAAGGGGCGTGGCCGCTATGGCGCCTCCCTCGCCACCAAATACGTTTGGCTTTTTGATGACTTCAGCGACCTGATATCCTCATGAAAATTGATACACAGGTGAAGAATGGCGAGCTCTTGCATCTGATAGGGGCGTTGCCCATGGGGGGGACAAAATTCCTCTATAGCGCCCCCTTGAAATTTTCAAAAACCCCTCCCCATAGGGTTTTTTTTGGAGTTGGAACATGAAAATTGGTACACATGTGTATGTTGTCCAGACGCACATAAAAGTCTCTGGCACCAGTGGTCTACTCCAAACAGGAAGTTGCCCATTTTGATTTTGACTTGTCATTTTGGTGTGATTTCAACATGCTTTATTTTAATGAACTAGTCCTAGGGATTTCATCCAAT